CTAAGTCTGAAGATGGTGGCCTGGTCCCTTCTTGTTAGGTGGTTAATGCTGTCATTAGGATCAGGGCCAGACATATGTCTATAAACCTCTCTTCCAGTGTCTCCCATGGCCCATCTGTTCAACCAAGTCTCTTTGTTTATAGCTCTTATCAGTGTTTTTGCTGTCTGGAGGGTTGTCGCTGTAGGTGGTTGTTCTTGTGTTGCTCCTTTCTTTGCCAATCTGTCAGCTCTGTCATTACCTGGTGTGCCGAAGTGACCTGGAATCCACTGCATCACTATTCTGATGTTGTATGAGGTAATAAGCTGATCGGCATCCAGGATTATCTTGGCTATGTCAGTTCTGCAGCGTTCATTGCCCTCCAGAGCTTGAAGGGCAGACATTGAATCTGTGAAGATGACAATATTTTGGACCTTTGAGGGGTAAACATCCATTACAGTCTTTAGGTGGTATACTGCTGTTTCCAGTGCAATTATTTCAGCTTCATAATTTGAACAGAATTCCCCGCATGCATCAAAAATCTCTTCAACAGATCCATCGGGATAACCTATGTAGATTCCGTAACCTGCTTTAATGGTAGCTTTAAATGCTGATCCATCAGTATAGACATGTATCCATTCTTGGGGGTAAGAATCAACGGTCTTTAGTGATGAGTTCATAAGAGCGATTGGGTCGGACTGTTTGATTTCCTCGCCTACCAATTTAGTTCGGACTTCTGGAGCTTTAAAGCGAGCATGTGGTGGTAGGTTTTTTGCAACATTCTGAATTCCTTGACGTCTTTCTGGGAGGTGGTATCTGTCCTGAATTTCATTAACACAGTGTAAAACCGATTTGTGCTTTATTCTTTGTTTGGATTCCCAGTTTTCTACAAGATGTCTATTAGGATGGTTACGATTTTTCCTAACGCATCTTTCATAAATTTCTAAAGTGGCTTTTTCTCTCCGCAACCCGAGGGGTTCCATATTTGTATGGATTTCACATGCAGCAGTTGGTGTAGACTGCATAGCTCCGCAGATTAATCGGAGGGCATTATTTTGTACTCTGTCAAGAGTCTCTAGATTAGTTTTGGAACAAGTTGTAAGCAGTGAGTTGTTGTACTCTATCACAGAGCGAACATATCCTAGGTATAAGCCCCTCAGAGTTTCCTTGTCTGATCCCCATGATGTACCTGCAAGTCTCTTTAATAACTGTAACCGCCTCAATGCCTTATTCCTGATGTTTTCAATATGGTTCTTGAGGCTGAGCTGCGGGTCAAGTGTGACTCCAAGGTATGTGTGATGCTCTTCTTTCATCACTTGGTGTTTGTCTAACCTCAGGTTAATATTCTTCCTTGCTACTTGGTGGCTTTTGGTAAAGATTGTGTAGACCGTCTTTGCACAGTTAATCTTGAGTTTCCATCTTTGGCAGTAATCATGCAGTCTTCTAAGGTCTCCATTCAGTCTTTGGGCTCCACTTTCCACATTTTCATGACTCTGCCATATTGCTAGGTCATCAGCGTACAAGGCTTTTTCGGCCTTGATTTGTTCTAGCAGGTCATTGATAAAGATTTGGAATAGTGTACAGCTCAATGATGAGCCTTGTGGCAAGCCCTCCTCCAAGACTTCTTTAGAAGAGATTGCGTTGTGCATCTTAGTCTGGATTGTTCTATCTATCAGGAAGTATTTCACCCAGTTATACAATCTGCCATGTATTCCTATGCTCATCATCTTCATCAGGAGACCTTTTCTCCATACTCTGTCATAGGCCTGCTGGAGATCGACAAAGACTGCCACTGTGTGTTTCTTATTCTGGAAGCCATCATGTATTCTTTGTGTCAGTCTGAACAGCTGGTCTTCTGTGCAGCTGTTGGTTCTGAAGCCTGCCTGTTCATGGCATAGAACACCAGAACTCTCAAGGAACCAATATAAGCGCCTGTTTATCATTCTTTCTGCAACTTTGCCCAAGCATGATGTTAAGGATATCGGGCGGTAGCTTTTGGGGTCATCTGGAGGCTTTTTGGTTTTAAGGATGGGGACGATATATGCATTCCTCCATGCCCTTGGAAGTTTGCTTGACCTCCAAGTTTTATTAATAAGCCTGAGAACTACTTCTCTCCCAGACCGGCCAAGATGTAGCAGCATTTCGTTGTAGATCTTATCTGGGCCTGGAGATTTTCTAGGTTTTAATTTCTTCAGGGCTTGCTCTAGTTCATCCATGCTAAATTCGTTTTCAAAAAGGGAGTCGCTGGCTGTTGGAGCTCTCTCTTGTTTCTTCAACTGAGAGAGCTGTGTTCTATTGAGTTCTGACAGCTTACCTGCTCTGTTAACTGAGGCAAAATAATGATTGAAATGTTCTGCTTTCTTCTTGTCTTCAGTGATTGTCTTACTCCCATCTGTCACTGGTTTTGGGTTCACCCTTCTACTTTCTCCGGAGAGATTTTTAACTAAAGTCCATGCTTTATTTCCATTCTGTCTAAGGGCTAAGTTGGAGCAAGTTTCTGTCCATTTATCTTTTTTAGCCTTATTAACTACAAGCTTTACTCTGGCACATGCTTTATTGTATTGGATCTTTGCTTCTGTTGAACGTTCAGTTTCGAGAAATATTCTTGCTTTATTCCTTTCAGATATAGTATTTTGAATTTCTTGATTCCAAAAAGGTTTATATGCCTTCCGGCTGCCCCTTGGGATGGCTTTCGACGCTGCATTCAGGATTGCTTGTGTTATGTCTTCACAAAAAGTTTCCACACAGCTGTTGTCAATTCTTCCCAGGAGGCAGTCAGATGTTTCCTGAAATAGTTTCCAGTTTGCTTTTCGGAAATTCCAACGGGTTCTCTGCTTGAAGCGTAATTTAGGGGTGGTGCTTACAGTTGTGAGTATAGGTTTGTGGTCACTTCCTATGTCCTCCAGGACTTGGGGATAGCTTGCGTCTGCTAAGTCGGATGAGCAGATGGTCAGGTCTGGTCTGCTGAGAGATAGGTGGGCCCTGTGTAACAGTGTAGGTGTAGACTCTGTGTCCTGCAGCACTAATAGGTTAGTTGTTTCACAAGTATCTTCGATGTACTTTCCTGTGCTATTGTAGTCAGGGTAACCCCAACGTGGCGAGTGTCCGTTGAAGTCACCAACAAGAAGGGTTTTATGGTACTGTGTCTTGTATAGTTCTGGTATGTTGCATGTTGTCTGAGGTGGGCTGTACACGTTGTATATCGTATATTTGCTTCCATTGTGCCAGATAGTTATTTTTTGCACATCTGTAGGGTGAGATGTCGACAGCATTGTTACATCTCCTTGTATGTCATTTCTGATATAGGTCACTATGCCCCGGCAGTCATTGCACTTACAGGCATAACTAGTATATCCAGTGAGATGCAGATCAGAGTCTTTATGCAGGGTTTCTTGTAGGGCAGCCACGTGTACCCTGTGGTTGTTTAGCAGTTTGGCAAGTTCAAGTTTCTTATTTCTTATTCCACAGATGTTCAGCTGCAGAATATTGAGCATCTGTGTATTTTTTGCTGTGCTGTCTGAGTTCTTTTTGCTCTCCCTCCCACTCTTCCTCCTCCTGGGGTGTCTGTTTTCCCTATTTATTTCAAATTTTCCAGTAGCCAATTTTTCGCACATGACAGCCTGGTTTCCCACTGTCTGGCGCGGGCCTTGATAGACGAGGCGACGACCGATCTCGTATGTATTCTTAAATTTTGACATATTCATGGCATTGTGGTGCTGGGGTGTCTGTGGATTACCTACCTCCCCGGGCAGCAGCTAGAAATGCCCTGTACCAGTTCTAAAGGAAATATGGGTTGTGTTTCTGCCTTTCCCTTTAACACGTAGCTAAGGTGGGGCTCACAGTGTTCTCATTCCCCGCCACCAGATTGCCTGCAGGTTTCGCTGAGCTCTTCATGTCTCTAAGCATGGCCTAAGCATGAGTAGTTTGGGGCAACTGGATCGTCACGTCCTGAGTCCCTGTGCCTTCACGATAGTTTCCGGTATTCAGGGGGGTTAGCATACTTGTTTCCATTCCTAAGACTGTTCAGCACACCTCTGGTTCCTTCCCTCCCACAGGGGGCAGTACGGTGTGGTGCACCGGGTTTATTATCGAGGTTTGCTCCTCTAGATCCATTGTGTTTTGCCTGGGGATTCGCACCCCCAGTTACCGGGACTACCTCGGGGAGGCTGTGACTCTTCGCCACGCACAATGGTCTTGAGGTAAGAGAGGTTTTGCTAGGTCAAGAGGCTGACACCACAATGGACGCTCCTTTCGTGAACAGATATTCACTAGACCTAGGGTGAAGTAAGGGGGGGAACCCACTACCCACAACACCAACACTTCTTACCCCCTGCCTCTCGAGGCTCAGTCCCATTGAGGTCCTAGAGCCACATACAGTGATTGAGGTCCTAGAGCCACATACAATGATTGAGGTCCTAGAGCCACATACAGTGATTGAGGTCCTAGAGCCACATACAATGATTGAGGTCCTAGAGCCACATACAATATTTGAGGTCCTAGAGCCACATACAATGATTGAGGTCCTAGAGCCACATACAATGATTGAGGTACTAGAGCCACATATAATGATTGAGGTCCTAGAGCCACATACAGTGATTGAGGTCCTAGAGCCACATACAGTGATTAAAGTCCTAGAGCCACATACAGTATTTGAGGTCCTAGAGCCACATACAATGATTGAGGTCCTAGAGCCACATACAATGATTGAGGTACTAGAGCCACATACAATGATTGACGTCCGAGAGCCACAC